TATTTGGAATTTGTCCCGCGTAATGGGTTGAGATATAAAGACAACGACTACTCAACCGCAGAAAACATAACATATAATATATCTAATATATTGTATATTGTACGTCGTATACAATGTTCTATGTCATAGATACTACACTAATGTCTAGTACGCATAATCGTCTCTAGAGTTGAAAACAAAACATGTACCTCGGGGCCTACTAGGATATAATATATTGTGTATAGATAGGTCTAGAAAACTCGCATTGGTTTAAAAAGGCGTTATATCGCACTGACGAAACATGATAATAAATTATTCGCCGACGTTTACAGCAGTATCAAAATCATATTATTATTATTGTTGTTTTACATTGCATCTCATTCGTGAGATTGTACACGAGTTTGACGGTTGTACGCGTGATAATAACATTTATTCGTACCTACAATACCTACTTGGTTTTGCCGTAACGCGATAAGAATTCTACGAGCACGACTCGATGTCTGACGCACTGTTACTGTTGTTGACTACAGATATACATATATAGTCACGGTTTTACATCGTACCTGCGCTGGTCCATGTGGCTGAGCGTACTACCTTCTACTTATAACAGTATATTCTAACGATTGAAATTCAGAGCATTTTGTTGCACTGTGAAAAATGTGTTCGTAGCATACAATTCAAATTGACGAAAAAAATTCTCTAAAATATACCCATTAAATTTATGGCGAAAGCTATAAACGTATATGAAAATAAGAACTGATGTGATGTCATAAAAATTTTTAAAAACGCTTAAAATCATCGAATTTTTCCGCTTTTTTCTTAAGATAATAATAATAATATAACGAAACTCGTAAGAATATAATTGCAAAGTCAAATTTTGTATTTAATTTTACTATTTCACGAAAATAATTTATATTTTACGTGGATTATTCTACAACCACCATTAAAAAAAAAGTTCCAAATTTTAACTATCAGGATTATTTTTTTGTAACGTTATATCATTGGTACAGTTAAAACTCGAAAATATTAGGTATAGGTAGGTATACTTGTTCGTGCGTCGTAGTTATCCATAATTGGGAAGGAGAAGGAAGTAGAGTTGCATGTCGGCTCAATAGAAAACAATTAATCGGTCTGGTCAAGTTTTAACACTTTGAAATTAATATGTCAATTGGCTATCTGAAATTAGTAAGACGCTTTTCTTGTCACATTTATCACTTATTCTCATAATTATAGTGACATTATTCTTTACAATGGATGACATACAAATTTCACTTTAAATTCTTTGCTGACATGATACATGATGTTTCTTCCAACGATGAGGAATACTTTAAATATGATTTTACTTTTAGATAGGCGTTGTACCACGGTTGTTGAAAGAATATTGTTACTCTATTAGTTACTACTCTGGTCGTTTGAACTTTAAATGCCTATAAATCATAAGTTTTATTATTCCATTATTTAATACACATATTAAAAAAAAAAAAAAAAAAAACTATTGTAATATTTTCATTTAAAAACCATAAAAAAAAAAAAAATGAATAAATAAATAAATAACTAAATTAATATTTTATTTCATTAAATAATTTTTTTCAAACAAGATTTGGTTGAGTCATAAGTGTACTAAAAAATAACTAACTTGTATGTTATATTATTATTATTCGCGTTGTACAAATTAGAAATTTGCTTACAGAGCTGTTATTAAAATGTCGCGTGCGTAATACGCGCATATATGCACCACGTACCTACAATGTAACATACGAAAGACGCTAACTATTATAATATATTAGCCCAATATACGATTATATTTTCCGTAAAGGTACTCTCCCTGAAAATAAACAATCGTTAATTTCCGCTTAGCTACATAATATTTACTTGCGCGTGTGTACAAATTACTGACCACACAAGCGTGGTGGTCTCCTGCGCCGTGTAGGTCGAATTTCTTTTTTCCTATTTATTTTTATTGTTGTTATGGAAAAAATCCCAACCCTCCATGATTTAGCCTAGTTTCATTGTGTTTATCATAATATTACAGTTACAAACGAAGTTTTTGTACATTTTACAATACATAACTAGTATTATGAATAAGTAGGTATTGAGAATTATTCTATTATTTACCATTTTAAGTTAGTATAATGATTACAAAAATATTGATCACGTTTTCCGGTTATCTCCAAATTCAATGTCACAGAACTTAATAAAATCGTTAAATTTAAATGTACATAAAATACGAAAAAGGATTTAAAAAAATATTAAACGTGTCGTTTATTGCAAGGTTCAAAAATGCTTTTTTTATATAATTAGGATAATAATTTTTAAATACGCAAATTATTCTAATATTTTAGCAGTTAAAATATTGAATACATATCGGTAATACAGAATTCATCGTGTAATAAAATACTTTATAGTAAATTAAACATATTCGTAATCACTGGACTCGCTTTACAAAAATAAAATGTATTGCTTCATCGTTTTGTGCATATTATTATATATAAATATATAATTATTCTATTAACGAACGTAGGTTCACGTTTCACGTGTAGTGATCGCATTAACTCAACATCCTTTTACACTGCCCCCACACATCCTCCGTTTCGTTTCCATACAAAACAAATAAACATTTCTAATTTTAATACTCGTGTTATAAAAAAAGATTACACTTCATCTTTTTTTATTAACTATACACTATATTGACGAACAGTATCTTTATCGCATTATTTCTGATTATTACATAAAAACCAGTTAGAATAGTATCCGAGTGATGAGCATCTTTATAGTCAGTTGGTTATCAAGAAATTATAGTAACTATATGTTCTTAATTAATAGTTATATATAATAACTATACATAATAACTAATAAATAAAAAAACATTTGTTTTGTGTCAAATATATTTTTATCTATACTAATAATTAATAAATAAAAGAGAAAACATCAGAGAAAAATAGTTAATTGTATACATTATTTTGTTTTGTTTTGTTTTTTTATACATTTTTCATCATATCTATTTTTATTATTTCTTATTAGTGTTTGTTATATTATATAATCTTAAGTTAATCTATATTATAAGTAGTTCTTTATATACACTCTATTGCCTTAGGGCGTTAAATAAATAAATATTATAATATGACGGTAATATAAATAGATAAATATTAAGTACCTACTTTAATAGGTGCTAAGTATCTATACTATTTCTGCTTTAAAAAGTAAATCGAATTTGTCGTTATAACGTCATATTTTATTTATTGAAATTATAGCAATAAAGGAACAGTTCATTTTTTTGAAGTATACTTTACTTCTTAACATGTGTCTTAAACTTGTTAAATAACAACATGTTTATCGTTAAATAAATATTTATAAAATAAACTTAAATAAGTCAGCTATCAATAAAATAATAATTAATAATGAATGACCTGAAAATGTTTAATTATAAATTATAATACATTGTAATTACTGGCTTACTGCCAATAATAATTTTTTTTTATTTTTACCTGTAATTACAATAAACTGATTAAATTATTTTTTATTATTTTGAAAATAAATATTTTAAAATTACATAAACAAACATAAACATAATTCGTGTTTTGTTAGTCGTAGCTTTCAAATTAAATATAAAAGCTGACAGTTCATGTAGATAAACATTTTCAGAATAACAATTATTAATAGTCTTTATATGTACATTATATTATAGTATATAGAGTAATTGATGCATGTATAAATATCGTAAGTTTAGTATTTTTATAGTGTAGATAAGCAGATAAACTGTGCTAAGCAGATTATTCTTAAACTGAAAAAATAAAAAACTGATGCACTGGGAATCATAAATTTGACAACATTTAGTTCGATAAAAATATTTATTGATTTTTAAGAAATTAAATATTAATAATGTAGAACATATTGACGTATATGGGTATTGTATCCCTTTAAATTTGTTAGGGAACGTTGGCTAACTATAATGTTGTAATGTAAACTAATTGAGGTCTAGGCCACTGCAGCACTTGTGTTCTTAGTTTAAAACTACTTCCTTGTAAGGAAATCATCGGAGTCTCAACATGCATCGATATTGTTTGGTGCTATAACAGTCCTTTCGTTACATTATTAAAACTGTTTAAACCATCAAGGACAGGCTATTTTCTACATGAATAAAGTGCATTGAAATGACCTAGATGGTTTACCATATAGGTTGACAATCACCAAATCTTCGGATGACGTAGTTAATGCTTATACGGCTGTACAGTTATATAAAGCAATAATTAAATTATTTATTATAAAATATGTGTAACAGTATTCGAACATATAGGAAATGCGGTACTTGAATTTAATTATTGTTTTTATGCCAAACAACCCACTCAACTTTATGGTGTCAAAAAAAAAAAAAAATGTTTATGGCCCTGAATTTCTCTTTTTGCAAACAACCATTCTCCCACACTCATCCGTATATACTGTGTAGGTTGAACATTTCCCAAAATCTTTACTGTCGTATACATAGGTAGTATAGGCACATTAAACATTAAATATCACATTGTAATTGAGAAGATAAATCTCTAAACAGCTGTTTATTTAAGAGTTATCGGTTGATAAGAATTTTATAAAACAAATATTCATGTTTGTATTATAAAAATATATTTTAAATATTACCTAAAAATATTATATTTAATATTGAGTCTATATTTGGAGTTTGTCTAAATGCGAGGCCAAGCTGTGTTTAATTTAATTCTTGTTATCTGTTTGTCACTACAGTCTAAAATATTAAATCAACTATATCGTTTATGGGTAATGGCGCTAATGATAATTTACAATATATAAACTTGTTTATATGTAATGAAATACATGCATGGAATTTGTAGGTCTGTTTTGCCGCAGAAGTTTTATAGTAACCATAAATGGAGTCACGTATCTTGTTATACCTACTTTATTGTTACATATTTTATTTATGCGTAACGTAAAACACATTAATTTTAAATATTTTTATCTAAACTGATTATTATAAATCTTTTTTTTTTAATATTATGTATTTTTAATTATAGGTTACAGAATCAAATAAAACATCATGGCGACCGAAGTAGGATCGGATATCGCACTCATACAAGATGAGGATATGTTACGTAAAATGGTATTATACTAAGAAAAATTCAAATAAGACTTCTTAAAATCTAAAATATATTATTATTTTATTTTTAGTGGCAACAAACTGAAGATTTCGGAAAGAAAAAAGAGATTCGTATGAGAATGTATAAGCTTCGAGAGCAACGGCTTAAAGAGTTTTATACGACAGGAGAAATGATTCAAACAGAAACAACAACTAAACGCTCATCAACCAGAACGCATACTGAATCTATAACGGACCAAGGATTCATGACTATGAAAACTAAAGAGATCCGGGATTCCGAATCTCCGACAGAAGACTATCAACGACAATCAAATACTAATAAAAATTATTATGTTTCGTCGAAAATTGATGAATCGGATGGTAATAAAGGAATAGTTGAAATTGAACAGACCAGCTCTTTAAAGCCAAATGAAGAGTATACTCAAAATTCATTGCAAACGTCTATGTCCAGTTCTACGTCATCTCAGTGGAAATCATCACAGACAACTATTTCTATTTCAGAAGAAGTTCAAAAGGCTGATGTAAATTTGAATTCCAAATTTATTGTAAACGAACAGACTAACGAAGATCGTCAACTGACATTTGATTCATCATATAATATGTCGGACGGCTCAAATATTGATAGTAAGGTAACTGAATCAATATCTACTACCAACACAGAAAATATTAAACGAGATGATAATAATCAATATTCAAACGATCATCAAAAAGTGTCAGAAACATATACATCTAACGTTGAACTAGTTGAGCCTGCATCGGAAAATATATCAAATAAGGACAGTAATCTTATAGAAAAAACGTTCATTTCAAATATTTCATCAAACAACTCTGAAAATGTTGAGATAGCAACGGATAGTAAAATTATCAATGAACTTAATAAACTGGACTCTTATCTATCCACTCAAAAGTCAACTACAAATTCTACAAAATCAAATTCGATTGTTTCTAATGATGACAAGATAATTAAAAGAGCTGATGATCAATTTATTGATACATCAAAAGAAAACATCGAAGGTCAATATATCACCACCCATCAACATTCATATCAGCCACCTAGGATTAGTGTGGATTTGAGCCCATCGCATGAAGCTTTTGCTAGAAGCTTACGATCAACTCCAGAAAGATCTAGTCCTTCACCTTGCAGAGAACGTACAAGTCCAGAGCGTAGATTTAAATCTGCTAGTCCTGAGAAGTATAGAGCATCACCAGAAAAATCTGGAAGTCCTTCTAGATCACTCAACTACTCTTCAAGAAGAAAGTTGTCATCTACGCATACAAAAGGCTTATCAAAAAAACGATCTAATACACCCACAAGAGGGGAAAAATATGATTCTTCAGATGACTCTGACTGTTCTGGTGCAACTCATGGCACTTACGATAAATATAAAAGTTCTGATGCTAAAAGAACCTTGTTTAAAGAAGAAACTACAATTACTTCAGTATCGAAGTATGGCCAAAAATCATCATCTACAAGTCCAGTAAGAAGAGAAAAATCTCCTGGATATAGCAGTGAAGGTTCAGTTGGAAAAGAATTGAGAAAATCCTCATCTAAAATAAAAAATAGTTCACATGAAAGTAGCCCTGAAAGAAGTGCGTTTAAACCAGTAAATAATTACAAAACACTTCAAACTCAGCAAGTTACTAATGATAATAAAATAAACCGTTTAACACATGAAGAGAATTTATACACAAACAATTATGTTTCTAAAAACAAAATAAGTGATGATAAACATTTAATTAAAGTAATAAAACCTGAAATCAATAATGATTTAAACGAAGATGAAAATATAGAACCAGCTATTAAGAATACTGAAAATATCTTAGATTCAAAAAAAAAGTCCATTCAGGAAAAATTCATCATAGAAGAACAAGTATGTACATCTTCTGAGCAAGTAAACAATGAAAAAAAAACAACACAATCAATATATAATACTGAAAAAAACAAAACACCTAGAGAAAAATCACCTTCAAAAATTGTTAAAAAGGAAAATCAAACAAAACAGGAAGAATTTATTGAAAAAGAAAAATCAAATGTAGCTAAACAGAGCACAATCACTAATGATGACATAACAATAAAACCGAGAGAAAAATCTCCAGCAAAAGATGTTAAACCGTTTACAAAAGATGATAAAGCATACTCAACCGTTAAGTCTCCTGAAAATGTATCACACACTTCTGACATTAAATCTATTACATCTTCTAAAAAAACAATTTCAGCAATACCTTCGTCAATTAAAAAAGCTGTACCTTCAACTTTGGAGAAAACTCCATCGAAAAAAACCCTAATACACAAAGATTCAAAAGACAATTTATCAAATAAAACAGTTAAAAAAGACCTTTCGAGAGAAAAAATGGATATTAAAATTACAAGAAGTGATAGTAAGACGTTAATACATAAGAATTCAAAAGATCGTATTACACAAAAAACGGTTATTAAAAAGCCAAGTCAAGAGTTATTAGTAGACAAAAAAACTACAATATCGTCTAGACAAAAAGTTATTAATCCAGAAACTAAAACCAAGACTCAAGAAACAACAAAAGTTCTTGAAAAGAAAGACTCAAAAAATAAAATTAAACCTTCAATTAGTCCACAATCTTCACAAAAAAAGTTAGGTGCAGTAAAATCAGTTACTGAAACAAAAACAGTAATAGATTCTAAAAGAACTATAGGAAACATAAACGCAAAGAAAATTCCTTCTTCGAATGGAACCAAACCAAGAACACCTACTTTACAGAAGTCTGATATAAATGAAACACCATCTAAAGTAACAAAACCTTTTACCAAAACTACATCAACCTCATCTATAACTAAGCCTCAAGTCAAAAAAACAACTTATTCTAATTTAAATAAAACTATAAAAATTGAAATTACTAAAAATGTAGAACAAAAATCAAAAGATTTAGAGAATGAATTGCCTCCAGATAATTTTGAAAGTGATACTGACTTGGACGATTCTACCAATAAACCAAAATTTACTAAAAAAATATCATCCAATTCGTCAACGTCTTCTTCATCTTCTTCCGAAGATGAAAATGACGAAGAAGATTTACAAAAAATTCAAGATATTGATAATATAAGAATTGAAGCTGAAGAAGAATACGGTAAAAAAATGACCAATAAAGATGCATTATTAAATGTTATTGTTCAATTACCTCCGTCATCTAGGGAATCATCACCTGAGTATTCTGCTAGGTTTGGCCAGCCATATTGTTCAGTATCTGATGATGCCAGTTTGCCAAGGTATGCTGATGTTGTGAGTGAACCAGAAGATGTTAATGATTACAGAAGTTTACAGAGCAACAGATATGACGTCATAACAGACTTAGACGAAGATAGTAACGTTACAGTTGCTGATAGAGTTTCAAAGTTTTTGAATAATGTCAACAAGCAAGAAGAAATACAAAAAACTACGGAAATACCTCAAAGTCCTCAAGCAGTAAGAAAAACCAAACAAATATTTGAATCTATTGCTAAAGGAAAAAATGAAGAGACAGATATCATAAATGATGTTATTGAATCAGAATCACTGAATATTGAAACTGAAGAAAATCGAGATGTGACAAAAACCAATAAAACACCAACTTCTCTTTTGACGAGAAAAATTTCTGGAGCATCTGATTATAAATCTCGAAAAGACTTTTTTGAGAACAAAAAATCAAATGATATATCCGAAAAAGTAACACATATAACCCCTACTAAAATAACTAGATCTTCATCGATAAAGGATAGACGTGCATCGTTCGAAACGAAGATTGATAAAAAAACACCGTTGAAAGACAAAACCAATGTACCAAGGACAAAATCACCAGAATCTAAAAAAAGCTCACCTGACCGAACAACCAAAACTCCCGTAGAAATAACCAAGACGGAAACATTCGATGTTAAAGTTGAAGAAATAAATAGATCTAGAAGGCTATCAGGTTCAAAAACAGTTAAAGACAGAAAAGCTACTTTTGAAAAGAACGAACCCAGTCAAAAATCGTATAAAGAAAACAAAACTACTTACAGAAACCAAGTGCCCAGTACACCATTAAATACGAGTAAGATCTCAGAAACACGTATTAAGTCGGCCACCGTAACTGATACAAAAATTGCAGATCGTGCCTCAACTAAAAGAGTGTCAAGTCCGGAAAAAATCACAGCCACTGATTCAATTAATAAAACCAACGAGATAACAAGCAGAAAAGTATCATCAAAAAGTCCAGATAGAAAAATCACGGAAACTCCAAAAAGAAATAGCACGAATAAAAGTCCTGAGCGAAGTGTATTAATTAGTACGAAAGACAACACTACTAGCGTAAATCATAGTGCACGAGATACAATTTCTTCGTCTTCCAAACAACGAGCCACCGTCTCTACCACTAAAACTGATTTTGGAACGACTGTGAAAAATACATCAATGCCAAAAACTACGTCGACGACTACAACAACAACTAAACTGATTTCTGTCAATAACACTGATGACGAAGTGCAGATTGAAGAAATATTTGATTTACACGTTTTGGAGATAATGGTAAATATATCATTCATATTTATAAATTTTCCGATGTCAGTTCGGACTTCAGAGTCAATAAAACACACACTATAAAAATATTAAAATGTAATCATCATCATTAATATCATTTATCATCATTTATATCATCGTCAATCTTTAGAAACAACAATAAACAAAAATAACTGTTCCCCAAGGTTAGTCGGTAAATCGTTGTTGTATTTTTTATTCTAAATAAAAATAAATTGTGTACACAACGCGTATTGTATAGTGATAATGAGATATAAAATAATATTTATTTAGTAACCGTTCCGTGAAACCTGATCATAATTTGATGAACAAAAATATACTCTCTCGTGATCTTAATAATGCCTATCCACAATGCCGTTAAACCGACACTAATTTAAAAATTGGTTTAGTTGTGTTAAGTTAAAATATTTCAATTACCTACTTTTTTAATATTAATTTATTTAAAACATTTTAAAACTTGTTTAAATTTAATGAACTCGAATATATTTTTTTCATCTTTACATATTTTTTAGTTCATATATGCATGTATATTTTGTACGTTTCTATTAAATATAGTTATAAGTTATAACCCTTATATAATTGGATTTCTACACCATGAAGACTTAAGCATATATATGAATTTGTTTTAAAAATATAATAATATTCCAATTCATATTTTAATAACCAATAATAATTTGAAAATATTAGTTTTAAGGGGTTGTATATAGGCAATGTGACCAATGTTCAATAAATTGTATAATATGATAATAAGTGAATATTCATTATTCGTTAGAATATGTGATATAACTGCATTAACTATTAACATGCCTACATGTTCTGATGAGGATATCATTATCATTGTTGGAATAATACCAGTTTATATGCAAGAAGTAATAAAAAAGTTTTGTATGGCAATAATCATGAAATAGGTGACAAAAATATATGTATAAAAAAAAGGATAATGTGCGTATACTTCTTTTATTTGACTTTAGATAAGAAAAAATTTTAGAATCAGAGCACAAAATTTTGTCACGATAATATAACATTTTATCATTTTTAAATTAATCCCCGTATAATATATTATTTGAAAATGTATAATTTATCAATATCTTAGAAATGTTGAAATTAAATTGTGAAATTTTGCTGTGAAATAAAAAAATTGAAAAATAGAATGTTTTGTCATCAAATATTTGAGTTATACTAACTTGTTCTTATCTTTATTGCTAATAATTTAAATTTTAAGAATATGAACTTTAAATTTAATTAATTTATATATAACTATACATAAATTTATATAAATAAAATTGTTGAATAAATATTTAAAAAGATTTTTTTTTTTTAATGTAGAAAGTATTTATATCAACAAGTATATTTTGTATTAGGTGTTTATTTTATTTTTCTTATTAAATCATATTTTTACTTGTCTAGCTTGAAAAAGCAGTTGGTTACGATCGTAGGAGACGAATAAGAGCACAAATTCGAATAGTAAAACGTCAATTAGAGACAAACAATGCAACATCAATAAACACTACAACACGTGTAACAAAGGTAAATTATTTTATTTCATAACTTTAATTATTATATTTAAAATAAATCATTGTTTATTAAAATTTGATTATAGAATTTTCAAGATGTTTTGCCAGCCAAGAATCAAAAACAAAGTAACATAACTGTACAAAAGACCGAGCATGTTAAAAAGGCTGAAGTCAAAAAAGAAAGAAGCGTTTCACCACAAAAATCTTATGCAAATCCAATTGGTAATTCGCGATCTCCTTCACCTCAAAAGGCTCCTAAGTCAGTTGTGGAAACTCGAACACCGTTACCTACACAGAAAGCTGTTCGAACATTTGAAAAGGAACGATCTCTTTCACCTCAAAAAACTGTGACACCAGTTGATAAAGTGCCATCCCTTTCATCTCAAAAAACAACTACAACTGAAAAAGTCCGATCTCCTTCATCTCAAAAGAATACTCCTACCGAAAAAGTCCGATCTCCTTCACCAAAAAAAATGACTGTGGTCCAACAACAACAAGATTCACGATTCAATAAAAATGAAAAATCTTCTCAAAACTCAACTATCACATCTACCTCAACGTCTTCAACAACAATCACTAAAACTACCAAAGGTAAATTTTTAATAATGTATTATATATCAGACATGTTTAAACACTTAACGCTATGGAATAATATTTTAATAAATTAATACTTATTATGGACAAATGTTTAAATGCTTAAGTAACAAGCTTAAAAATATGTAAGGTTTCCATTACTCTCCGCTCAATATTGATACATCGTATAAGGCAGATGTACAATAATTAAGTTACAATCACTAGTATTGTTAAAACAAAATTCGTTAACAACTCTATTTTATTATTTAATTCAACGAGGTTGTCGTACAGATCAAACTAACTTTTTACATAAAGGAAAAATAACGACAATTTTATTCGTGAAAGTAAAGAAAAATAAATATTTTATGGGTAACACTGTGGTTTAAATTTTACTTTCTTAATATTATACCGTTAACAAGAATAAAAAAAGAGAAGATATTCTATCAGAAAACAATGATTTATAATTTATATTACTGAAAGCAATCCAAAATGCAATCATGTATAAAATTGAGTTTTAAATGTCTTGGTATATTTTATATTCTAAAATGTACAGTTTTGATCAATTCGTTAAGAAATACAATACTATTTAAATCACTCTAAAAACTATATGAACAATTAAAAGTAATGAGTCGACACTTAAATTTTGTTTAAAATACAATTATAGTTTTTAATATAATTAAAAATAATATTCTGAAGTCTTTTTAATTTATGAAAATGTATTTACAAAAAAATCATAACAAAACACTTTAAAATTTTATCCATTATATTCAAGCTTGTTTAAAGAATAAATCTTATTTAATAAATAATAATTTATAGTCCACACCTAGATGCCACTAAAATAACTGTAAAATAATTAATATAATATGTTAAGTTGTAAACTATAGATCCAAATAAGTTTTATTTTTATCATCTTTTTAATAAAAAAATTTACCCAGAAGAGCATATTTTCATTATATTTTGAAAATACTTTGTTTTGATTTTTCATTTTATTAAATAATATATATATTATTATTCGTGAACATTTTGAATCAGGTAAATATAAAGTATTTGATTCTCGTTGAAAATTCTTGTAATAAAAATGTTTATTGTGGTTAGACAATACATAATATTATTTACTATATTTTGATAGATTGCTACTCAATCAATTTCTAATTTTTCAAACGAGAAGTTGATACCATTATTTGACATCTGTCACTTGATATTTTATGATATGCATATACTCATAGAATTTATATAAAATGATCAGTAAAAATGATCGAGACAAAACTTAGAACCGACTCTTTATTACCTACTATTATGCCGATTTAAGTTTATTTTAAATTTTTCCTCATAGTTTTAAAAACTTCAACAAATGTAATACAAAATAAATATATTTTATCATCATCATAATTGAAGACAAAGTATTTTACATCTCAAATCGCATGTTTTAAATAAACTTAAAAATAAAATACTTATAATATATATGTATAAAATAATTAGATCTATACATAGTTTTTGTTCTCAAATATAATTATACACACTAAATAAGAAAATTACAAGGACAAGTAATAAATGTTAAAATGTTAAAAAAAATTGAACAAACATGACGTGATTAAATGTATATTTAAAATAATAACGACCATGCCAAAAAAAAAATTAACCGGCGATAACAATATTTTAAACGAGTATTTGTAAAAACCAAAAAGTGTATTTTATTGTATTATTGATTACCTTACCAATTTAAAAATGTAAGTTATATGATTATATCACTTACATATATATATATATATATATATATTATAATATCATACACTTTTGAGCTTGTTACATAATATAATTTCCCTAGTATTGGTGAACGGAAGCATCAAATATTCAAAAATATAAGAAATACTAAGTTAGTGTGTCGATGTGTCGAATGTAAAATTGTATATGTTAAACAATCAATATTTGACGAATTTAACACTTTGGTTCATTTTATTTAATTACATTGGTTTCCGGTTTACTTATGAAATGTAATTATTGTTCATATACCAAACCACTAATTTACGGAAAATGAGAAATTGTTACGGGCAGCCGGAAGCTTAGAAATCTTCTTAGTTCTTACTGTAATTTAAGCGTGTGCTTATAATTGACGATGAATAGTGAAATCATATTTTTATTCAATTGAAAACGACTTGCCGGAATCAACGTTCAGGAACATTTCAACACGGCGACACTGGCATATTTTACTGCCTGTTTTCAACCAAATAGTAATACAGAAAAAAAACCGTCGTATTGCGTATTTCTGTAGATACTTTGTGCAGGTTCATAAATCAAAGTAAATTATTAATTTATAATTATTATTGAATTTATGCATAGGCCATTGCCGGTAACTAATTAAAAAAATGTTTGATTCAATATTTTAATTCTAAAACGTGATTAATAATAATATACATTTTGTAGTTTATGTTTTGTACGTCAGCGCACCATTTATTTTTGTTTCTACATAATATTATACTATTTTATGTAAAACTACGATATTTATATATCGATTTATAAATTTAGTGTATATTATCAATTCAATTATACATAGGCGACAAGTGGCTTAAAAACAATTTGAATGATTAACTAAATATCGGATAGCAGTAAAACTAAAATTAGGATTTCCTAATAATTACCATTTCCAACACTGGCCGTGTCTACATCGTGTGTACAATACAACTAAACAAAAACATAAATAATTATGTCGATAAAATATAATCTCTGTTGATCGGCCGGTTCTGTCGAATTTCGTCGGTAATAATATTAATAATAATGATATATAAGTACGCACGTCGCGCTAAAAAATATCGCACACCTATTCCAAATTCCAACGCGCCACCAACCGCGGCGGCGCGCGCCAAACGGTTTTTTGAATTTACTATTATACGTGCCCATGTAATAATACGAGGTACTTTAATGGCATAATACTCGTAGACACTACCTATACAGTGGCACTACTTATACCATTCGATCACCGGTCATTAAAATATCGTTTCGCACCAATGAACCACCATCACTCGTCCCGGTAATCAACAACTACAATAAACACACACACACACACACACACGCAATATAATATTTTGTCGCCCAACTGCGTTTTTTTTTCACATAAATCAAAACTGTAAATGCAGTCCATAAAAATCGTGAACACATGTCTGTGCGTATACCACAATACGTACTATATACAGAAATAGTTTATGCCGCTCCTGTTTAGCGAAAACCCGAACAGACCGTTTACGGAGACGCGTATTTTAAATATTATTTATATATATATATTACATCGCATGGTAGTGTATATTATTGTATCGGCTAATAGAGAGTGTATTATAATATTTTAGGGCTTTATATTTATACATCGAAATCTGTCCGTTTGCCAATAACCGAGAAAATTATTACGATGACGCGGCGCTGGTCGGGTTCGACGACGATCGCTTCCATTCGGCGGCAGTGCGCGTACACACACGTCACGATGGCACGATGGTAAAGATACGATATTGTTGTTAAGTCTGCGCGCCTTCGGACAACCCGCCACCACGCCCGTCTCGCCCGGTTTGGGGGTAGGAACGACTTAGGGGTAGTAGACGTTATCGCGGACGACCCAGACACACGATTTGGATTTATGATCTCACACCCGGGTGTGCAAGATATTATATTATGTTATTGTAAACATCGTAACCGACGGCCGACGGACGTGTGAGCTTAATAATACGTATCGCATTATGTAGGTACACGTGAAAAACGTACCGACGACCACCGACGTATGTTTTACGCGCGTACGAGTATTATACCTACCCATAATATTATAATATCATAATACATGAAAATATTATACGGTCTGGCGTGCGAACAACCTGTTTGAGTAAAAACGTACACACACGCGCGTGTGTTAGGTAGGTAGGTTAATACGTATATTATTATTATCACGGAGAGACACCGTTAAGAAGCATTGCGGCGAGTGTTTATATAGCGCATCTCGCTGTATACCTATAATAATAATTGTTATTGCTTATTAGTTTTATTGGGCACGCACACACTTGTCTTGTTCGTCCGGAGCTATGAGGTTTTCGTGTTGTCGGGTTATCGGCCGACGACGACGACGACGACGACGTCAACGGAGAGGACGTGAACAGTGTACAACATAATAATAATGATGAAAATAATAATATTATTTTATCGGCGTCATTATTATATTATATTATTATATACGATGAGACATGATAATAATAAAAATAATAATAATAATAATAATATGATATACCTAAACGGCGGCGGCAGTGGCGGCCGACACCCCGCGCACCGCGCCGCCAAACCGACGGTTTGAGTGATGCCGGAGGGGGTAGGAGGGACGGGTGCGCGAGTGATGCGGTTAGGAGGTCTTCTCGGTTAGGACGTCCGACATGCCACATGCGGCAGGCAATCCGTCACACGGCACCGGACCGCACGTACGTACGTTGTCGTCGCCGCGTCCGTCCGATTTTCGGATAGATAATAATTTCGTATATCGTTACGGACCCCTCGTCGTCAACACCTAACTCGCTTTTCCGTTTTCGATCTCCTCTGTCTCCGCCGGTGACCGCGAAAATTAATTACGCGCACGTCCGTCGACGAGTGATCGGAGTGCGTTTGGACGTTTTTGTCGAATAATCACAAGAAGTCTACTCTGTGTGCGTAAGACGCGCGAACAGGGCCCGTCGCCAAGTCGCGGCCGACTGGTGGTATTACATAGGTACGTACAGAATATTATTAAATTGCCATACATGAAAAAAAAAAAAATAAAAATAAATTAAATAAATATTTTGGTCGGCGCGATTAAATATTGCCGCGTGTTGTTTATCGGTACTCGAATTGTTGAGAAATCGGAAGGGTGGTATGCGAAATGTATATTATTTAAACACGTCTGGTTGATTAGAGGATATCGATACTCGGGGTAGGTACGCATAAATATTTTTTTTAAATACCAAGAACTCCGTCTCGCCTCCTCAATTCGAGCATTGAATTTTGTTACTGTTAAACGTGCT